TCATCAATAAATATGGCCGCGGCCCCCCCCCCCCCCCCTTCAGCAGCTCTCATATGCTCCTCTTCTTGTGTGGTCTCACTACACTGAGTATATTTAACAGAAATACTCTATCTTCTGTGTATTGCTCTCTTTTAAGAGACTCTGTATACGAAATCTGAGATCCAAAAATTTTTAATCCTGGCTGTGGGAAGATATAAATCTAAAAACAAAAGCGGTATTACATAGAAAAGTACTTTAATACTTGCACATTTTGAATTTGTAACAGCGTTCCATGTTCTGGTTATGCACAAATATATAGCTGATTTCCAGTTTCTGATAAACATCCAGTTATATCTTTGAATATTCTGTGCTTTCTTTTTGCAGGCGCTGCTACAGTCTACAGTTCAACAGCGAGAAGCAGCTATTGAAAAACAGTATATACTGACTATTGAAAAACACTCTCACAAATGTGAAGAACTTCTTAATGTTCAGGTATGGATGTGCACGGACATGTATACATAGACTATCTGTGTATCATATGCGTATCATTATCTGTGTATATATGCAGTACAAAAAGCTTCATGATTTTCTTTTAGTTTCAGTTCTTTTCTATTCGTTTGAGAAAATGTGAACGTATATGATCACCAAACAAAACAGTCATTCACCTTGTGTCCTCAATATAATAGTAAACATAGATGTTCAAAAATGCACAACAAACAATGACTCTCTGTTGTTGGGGTCCAAGGTATTTTATGACATTTAAACCCGCTTAGCAAAAATTCAAGAAGAGTGTAGCACTGAGGAGGAGGAATCTTAGAGCAATTTAATACTTGCTCCTTTAATGGCTGTCATTTTCTGTAGCCTTGGAGAAAACAAGTAACAACTTAATTTACGCATTTAAATGCAAGATTTGATTGTATAGGATTCACACAAATTATTGGTCCAAATCTTTTGATGCTTTTTAAATAGCAGACACACAAACAACTGTTGTTCAAACCTATTCTTCTTTCATGGAAATCTTGTATAAAAACGGAAATAAGTGTTAGTATGAGGAATTATATAAAATTTAGAAAAATGTATAAATAAATATGCCTATATAGCACATACCTTTACCACTTAATATTGCTTGATGATTAAAGGCACACTGCATAACATGTACTTGAAGTGGCATCAATTGCAGATGAGTATCTGAGCAGGGTAAACCTGCTGGTTATTGAAAATATCTTAGTTTAACTTGAGTACAAGTCATTAATCAGAATAATATCTGATTAGTAAATAACTTTTTTTCTTGTCAGTTAATTTTCTAATAGCATTCTAAGGTTATTTCCATTGTATTTAACTGTTACCTTTCAAGTACTATTAGCAACAATTCTACTGAAAATGGAAAGGATAAGAGTTTGTTTCTCAGTTTAACTTAACTGGAGTAAATTAGACCTAAATACATCAGAAGTTCACTTGAAATATTCCACCATTTTATTTATGGATGTCTGACTGTTCTTATCATATCAGTTAAAGTTTATTACAAATATGTAAGTATCTCTATAAACAGTGTAATGGATAGAGGCAAAACAGCTTGGAGAAATCAGTTTCCTCTTGCAAGAGCAGCATACTGTACAGAACTACGGTTACTCAATCCATATCATATAACTATGCCTAAAAAGGAAGTAAAAATGGATTTTTATAGAATGTTTTGGGTGTCTGAAATGAACAAATTGTGTGCTGACTTAATATAACCTTCTGACTGTTAAAAATGAGAGAATCTCATGAAATTCAGAATTATAGAAAGATTTTTTGGGAGTGTACTTTCACATTTAGGAAAAATACTGCTCAGTGATATGTAACATTTCAAACCAAAAGGTGGGGACAAAAATGTGAAAACCTATTCAAGAAGTCCAAATTTACCTGGGGATCTAAGTGAGACAGTTTTTCAGTAGAACTCACGTATGTGAGGGACTTATTTTTGGTTGTCGTACTTCTGCCATAATGCAGTGACACATGATGGCTACATTTAATGTAACGTAATATGATTTTTGGACCCCAGAAAAGATTTACATTTTGTTTATAAACTTCCAAGTCATTTCTTATTCAACTCAATCAAGGTTTACTATCTCTAATTGTAATATTGGACTCTGGGATTTTGAAGCCTAAGCAAGTACACAAAAACTGAGTGCTTATAACAGACTTATCAGTTTTAACAAAATACCATTTATACTTATGAATTTTGTTCAGTCATAAAAGTTTGTTGGAAGAGGTCTGAGAAAGGCCTTGGATTTTTTTAATATATATATTTTTAAAGGTGTTATCTATTTATGTGTTTGGACAAAACAAATGTTAAAACAATGGATTTGTTCTGTGCCAATAGCTAAGATTGCTGGCACAATGACTAATGACTGTACAGCAAATTGATTAATATTCAATATTATGGCATTGTGCATGCATATTGAGAATTACAAGTATCCATCTGACTTTCAGTGTGAAGAGGCTGTAGCAGTAGTCACACAGTTATAAGTATACTCTGGAAACAAACATAGCTTTTTGTTTTGTTGTTTTCTTCTAATATTCTTAAAAACAGTATTTTGCCTTCAACCCTTCAAAGTTGTTTCTCGACCTTCTGAATTTTTGTGCTTTGCTGCTTGCCATTCCCTCCAAATTTTTTGGTGTTTTAGCTTTAGTTTTGTGAAACTAGAAATATCTCATGTAGTTTCACGATTTCTTTGTTATGCTTTCTCCTGACCCCCGCTCCTACCTTAACAGTAGCCTGCTCCTACTTTCCTAAAATAACTCTTTGGGAAGGAGGGAAGGCTATTTTTCTCTGCTAGTATTTAACCAATAATTAGAATTTATTCAAGGTTTTGGTATTTAATTTGTATTTTGCCTGGATGTCAGTGATGGAGGTGCATGGTAAAGGTGAAATACTGAGCAATTTTTTTTATTGTGGTCCATCTGACCAATGTCTTCACCACTGATCCTAAACTTAGAAAGGTTCTGGCCTATTTTCTGGTTTCTCTTCTTGAAATTCATATGTGATTGATATGCAATACTGTTTCTTCCCTTGAGTAGCAGAAGCCTCAGATTTTGGATTTTGAGGTTTTCAAGACCTCCTGGGACATTTTGCACAGTTGTTACAAGATCTGCTTGAGCGACATTGTTCAGTATACTCTCTGACATGCTATACTGAACTCCCTCTCATTAAAGTGTGTCTCTGTATTGACTGAATTGCTATCCATTGCTTTTGCTACAACCGCTTGAAAGGTGAACTGCAGCAGCAGTTACTATGCAGTTGCTATGCACAGGTGCCAGGTTATTTGTACATCTGTCCTTTTCTGAGTACAGTAATGTCATTTATCTTGAATATCCTAGCCCACGTGTTCTTTAGGTGTGGAAGTGACAGTTCCGTTTGGAAGTCCGTTCCTGGAGTGGATTGAAAGGACAAGTTCCCTCAAAGTCACTGACCACTGTAATGGACACTTCCTGATGCAAGTGGGGACAGTGTTTTTTAGGGCTACTGGATTTTCAGGGAAGTACGTTTTCAAATCAACATTTCACAAAGCACGCCAGACATTCTCAGGGTATATTCATGGTCACCAGGTTCATAGTGTGCTTCGTCAATGAACAGGACAATGGCAACAGTCCTCTATGCGAGGAAGCAGTAAAGTTATGGAATGAATGCTTGGAAAGGAACGTATGTCAATTGTACCTTTCTAGGACTTGATATCAGAGAAGATGTCAATGGCAAATATGTCAGTTTATTGTAAATGGGGAAATAATGAATTTCATTGTTACATTTTTCTGAGATACTAACCTGTTTGACGTTGCCTCATGAAAATGAGCGTTAACTTTGATCTTGTATTTGAACTCATGTGTTCTATTAGAATATATACTAAACAACTAGATCCTATGAAACTTTTTGATCAAAGTAGGCTGCTGTGGAAAAACAGTAAGTGCCACTGATGATAAAACCATCCAGAAAGCTTTACATGAAGAATTGAGGGGAGTTTGAGAGTTGTACAAGGCACTGGATTCCGATTTCACTGTTGGTATCTCAGAAAAAAACAGAGCAAGTTAACTATTCCGATCTGTTTAAAAAAATATATATATATGACTTTTCAATAGGAATTTTCAGTACTTCATAAAATGCAGTCATATGTACAAAAGCAATTCAATAGAAGTTTTTCGATATATAAAGGCAGATACTGTTCTGTTAGGCCAAGCTAATTAGTGTGGTGGTACCTCATTTTGACTTAGCTCTTTTGCCAAAATTCCTTATTTTGCAAATAGATTCTCTTTTATATTTATGGAATAAATATCCTTTTGTAGTGGAACATAGGGTCATTATTTGATTAAAATAAAATCTGTTTGTTCCATCCTCCAACTTTTTCAGGGGAATTCTTTTTTGAGCTAAAGAGAATCACACAGACCTTCAATTTTTGCACTTTATCAAGAGATAAGGACTCTTTTTTTCAAGAAACTTGTGTCTGTCCTTTTTTTTCCAAGCCTAATTTCTTCTACTCTTACTTTAGTATGTTTCAGATGTTCTCTGAAAATAAATTAGACGCTTCTGCTGCAATGGATAGTAACTTAAAAAAAATAGAATACATTCCAGTTTGGATCTCAGTGTCAAATGACCTGAACATAGTGAAGAATAGAGTTTTAGATTGAGCTGTAAATTGCGCCACATTGTATAGTTATTTGATGATGAAGAATGCAGAGGAATGAGACAAATTCTAATTTTCTTCTTGCTATCAATTTTTCTGTTTTGTTCTGTGTTTTCCTAAATATGAGAATGAAGGATACCAAGCCAAGTGTAGGAGTCAGGATTTGTTAATGTATTTAGGTAGATACACTCTGCTTAAACTGTAGTTCATATCTGGTACAATTTGATTTATTTTTGAAAATGATTGCTGTCCTATATAAATGCAGAATGAGTAACTGGTCTGGTTTCTGGTTAGTAAAGCTCTTTTGTAGGAATAAAATATATAGAATTTTTACTTTATTAATAATTGCAAATGTCAGTAACATATTAATGCTGTTTTATCTGCTTTTTAGTTGTATTTTTCTTTCTGCGAAAGATGCTGTAATTAATGGATGGGATGTGAATCCTTTTTTCCCCTATCGTAATTTTTCCTACTTAGTAATGCAGAGAGAGATTTTGAAGTTAGTATGGCTGATATCACATCCACTATTTAAACACTCTTTTTTATTAGTAATACAGATGATAGAGGGGAAAAACTTGCAGAAAGTGATTACAGTAGCTTTAAAAAGGATATCCCATAAAAGATGCTAAAAAAGATGGAATAAATCAGCATCTGTTATGTAAAAGTGTTTACTATCTAGAACTAGGACACTGTAAGGAATTTTCTCATTAAGATTCATAGACCCTGAGCATGATAAGGTAAAGGGATGACCTGATTTCGCTGTAAGCCCTAGAAATGATGATGTATCAAAAATGTCTGTTACTATTGAATCAAGGTAGCTAGTCCTAAAAATGTATT